AAAAAATGTTTTAAGTTTATTTATTTTGAGAGAGAGAGAGAGAGAGAGAGAGAGAGCACATGCATGCATGTGAGTGGGGGAGGGGCAGAGAGAGAGAAAAGGGGAGAGAGAGAATTCCAAGCAGGCTCCGCACTGTCAGTGCAGAGCCCGACGCGGGGCTTGAGCTCACGAACCCTGAGATCGTGACCCAAGCCGAAATTGAGAGTGGGACGCTTAAAGACTGAGCCACTCAGGCGCCCCTGAAGGCATGTATTCTTTAATAATCCCTGTTAAATACAAATGCTTCTGGAAAGAGACGTCTGGCTGGGATGGTATAAGTGAGCTCATGTTTTAACGACCTGTGTGCTCCAAGCACCAAGTTATGATTTAGAAAAGACAACAAAAGAGAAAACAAAAGGACATAGCTGGAATAAGAAATAATATGGTATCACTGAGGACCACAAATAGAATAAAAGCATAAAATAATACGTGCACCTGAAGCCCCTTCTAGGTTCTCTGTTCAGGAGAAGGCAGCTGCTCTACGGAAAAGAAACTACAAGTACTTCTGGAAAGACGTACGGCTGGATCCAGGCTTGAGCCTAAGGGCTTGGAGGGATCGCATTCCTTTCTTTATTCACTGAAATAAAAAGTGCTCTCGGGGCGCCTGGGTGGCGCAGTCGGTTAAGCGCTCGACTTCAGCCAGGTCACGATCTCACGGTCCGTGAGTTCGAGCCCGGCGTCGGGCTCTGGGCTGATGGCTCAGAGCCTGGAGCCTGTTTCCGATTCTGTGTCTCCCTCTCTCTCTGCCCCTCCCCCGTTCATGCTGTGTCTCTCTCTGTCTCAAAAATAAATAAACGTTAAAAAAAAAATTAAAAAAAAAAGTGCTCTCAACTTGACAGAGTTGAATAAAGAATTAATAAATTTGCAAATATTTCTGAAAAAAAAAATCAACCCAAGCCATGGCACGAAGGGACAGAGATTAAAAATACATGAAGGATAAATTAAAGAGATGTGGATAGAACAGGGGTTTCTAATATTTGTCTCATAAATTCCAGGAGAACGGAATGGATGGCGGGATGGCAGAAAAAAACTCTTTGAGGACATAATGCCTGAAAATGTTCCAGAGCTGAAAACATAATTCCTCAAATGGAAAGCGCACTCTGGGGCGCCCGGGTGGCTCAGTCGTTTAAGCATCCGACTTCGGCTCAGGTCATGTGTTATACCCTTTTCTCTTTCTTTCTTTCTTTCTTTCTTTCTTTCTTTCTTTCCCTTCCTTCCTTCCTTCCTTCCTTCCTTCCTTCCTTCCTTCCTTCCTTTCTTCCTCTCTGTCTCTCTCTCTCTTTCTCTCTCTCTCTCTCTCTCTCTCTCTATTTATTTATTTATTTATCAATTATTTGGCTACCTGCCCGATGTGGGGCTTGAACTCCTGACTCTGAGATCAAGAGTTGGAAGCTCTATCAACTGAGCCAGCCACACACCCCTAGGTAGAGTATTTCTTTTTTTTTTTTAATGTCTATTTATTTATTTTAAGAGAGGGAGAGAGAAAGAGGCAGAGGGAGAGGGAGACTCCCAAGCAGGTTCCATGCTGTCAGCACACTGAGCCCAATATGGGGATCGATCTCCTGAACCACGAGACCATGACCTGAGCCAAAATCAAGAGTCAGATGCTGAACTGACTGAACAACCCAGGTGCCCCTATAGTATTTATTTTTGTTAAGGTTTACATTTTTTTGGAAGAGAGAGACAGAGCAAGTCGGGGAGGGGCAGAGAGAGGGGGAGTCAGAGAGGATCTGAAGCAGGGCCTGACGTGGGGCTCGAACTCACACACCATGAGATCATGACCTGAGCAGGAGTCAGACGCTTAACCGACTGAGCCACCCAGGTGCCCCAGCCCCTATAGAATTTCTTAATAAAACTTATTGAATTCATAACTATTAAAATGGTTTTAAGTGCCATCCAAAGGCATTCACATACCATAGGAAGTGTTTCTATATCATTTGGAAATGTTGGATTAGATGATTTTCAAGTCCTCTTTGAGCTCTAAATATTGTTGTTTTCTGAGGTTCTTCTGTATGATCATTTTTTCTCCAAAGGCTCCGGACATTTTTCTTCTTTAAAGATGCAAAACGCCTGCATTTAAATAGCAAATATATAAGACGAGGCTTTAATGTTTGAAAAGGGAAAAAAAGCCTCTGCTTTGCTTGAACATTTTCTCTCTCTCTCATTATACATCTTCGAATATTTGCCAGGGTAAATTTCTGCTTCTTTTTCAGAAGCAGTAAAGCTTACTTTTTGCATGTTGTATCTTTTTTCTATCCTTTTACTTTCAGTTTATCTGTGTCTTTAAATTTAAAGTATATCTCTTATAGATAGCATCTAGTTGGGTCTTGTTTTTTTAATCCAGTCTGGCAAATCTCTCCCTTTTATGTGGAGTGCTTAAGTTAAATTTATATTTCAATTAATCTGTCAGCGCAGAGCCTGATGCGGGGCTCGAACTCATAAACCGTGAGGTCAGGACCCGAGCGTCAATCAAGAGTCAGATACATGGGGGCACCCGGGTGGCTCAGTCGGTTAAGCGTCCGGCTTCGGCTCAGGTCATGGTCTCACAGTCCAGGAGTTCGAGCCCCGCATCAGGCTCCGTGCTGACAGCTCAGTGCCTGGAGCCTGCTTCGGATTCTGTGTCTCCCTCTCTCTCTCTGCTCCCCCCCTGCTCATGCTCTCTCTCTGTCTCAAAAGTAAATAAAAACATTTAAAAAAAAAGAGTCAGATACTTAACTGACTGAGCCACCCAGACACCCTGCCAGATATATTTCTAGGTGAAAGCTACGTAGGCAGGATGTCATTTAATAAGCTATAGGGCAGAATGAAATTTTCACATCACATCCAACTTTCAAGAACTCAAATCCCCACAGGTACCTTTTACCTATGGTCATGCTATATTGTTCATAGACAACAGAATTTAGTTCCACTTAAACTTGCAAGCAAAGTTGCTTCTGGAGTAACTGCATGAAAGAAACCATCAGGATGGTTTAAGTTATGTTGCAGTAACAAATGCAAAATTTCAGTGACTTGAAACAAGGTTTCGTTCTTTGAAACAAGGTCTCATTCTTACCGGTGCTGCATGTTCCTCAAGGGTAAGCTGGGGATCTGTTCCATGTTGTCTTTTCTTAGGACCCAGGAGGACGGAAGTCACTCTCTGGAGCCCTGCCTGTCGTCGTGGCAAAGAGAAAGAGAGCTCTAATTGATGAATTCATGAAGTGCTTAGCCAGAGTCTCTTCTGCTCGCAATTTATTAGCCAGAGCTGGTCACACAGCGCTACCCAACCAGAAGGGTCCAGAAGGGTACAACTCTACCGTGTGAACTCAGAAGGCAAAGAGAATTGCAATATTTGACAAACGTCATTAATGATTATCACATGGGATTTTTTTTTTTTTTCCAGGTTCCAGAGTCTTAGCTCCTGAAGGGCTAATGCTGCTTGGTCCTTATGTTCTCACTGGGTTGAACCTTACGAATAAATACTGCCAACGAAAGGAAAAGTATTTATGAAACAACGATAAATAAATGGCTGGGGGGCTGCTCTTAGATGTTGGGAAGGACAGGGCTAGGTGCTGAAGGTTGGCAATAATGCTTTCTGCCACTGGACTTGGAGATTCTCTGAGCTTTAGTTTTAAGACTAGATGGATGCTCCTCGCAGAGAAAGCAGGAAGTAAGGAAGCAGGGCAGATAACCCTCATTAACTGGGTGATGGTACAACGACAGGTGCTCTTGTAGGTGTTTGAAATTCAGTATTACAGGAAGCGTCCCCTACAGTTCCCTGGGGGAAAGGCAGAAGATAAAACTAGGTGATAGACAAACCTGTGCAGAATGAGAAACGAAGACCTCGCTTTTCTCTTTGTCACGTGCTCTCCATTCCACTTGCATTGGTTGCGATTATATTTTAACGCACCGTGGAATATTGAGCAGATAATGGCAGACAGATGGCCCACGGGCCAGTGAAAAGGTGCTTATCGTCACTCATCATCGGGAAATGCACATGAAAACCACAGTGAGATGTCGTCTCGCACCTGTCAGAGCGGCTGATATCAAAAAGATAAGAACCAACAAGTGTTGGTGAGGATGTGGAGACAATGGAACCCTCATGCACTGTTGACGGGAACGTAAACTGGTGCGGCCACTGTGGGAAACAGTATGGCGATGCCTCAAAAAATTAAAAATAGAAATACCACATGAGCCGGTAATTCCACTACTCAGTTACGTACCCAAAGACAATAAAAATATTAATGCAAAAAGAAACACCCCCCCCCCGCGTATTTATTGCAGCATTATTTACAATAGCCAAGATATGGAAGAACCCACATGTCCATCGATAGATGAATGGATAAAGAGATTGTGGTATCTATCTATATCTGTATCTATATCATCTCTGTATCTGTATCTATATCTATTCTATCCACCCATCCATTACTCAGCCATAATAAAAGAATGTGATCTTGTCATTTGTGATAACATGGATGGACCTAGAGGGTATTATGCTAAGTGAAATAAGTTAGAGAAAGACAAATGCCATGTGATTTCACTTCTATTTGGAAGAGCTATTTTGCCACTATTAGCCAAAGCAAACCCATGGAATCTCCCAGGAAGACTGAATTATGTGGGTGATGGCCTGTCAGGACATCTGATAAGAAGGGACCTGTCAAGCAAGGCACCAACTTTTCTATATTAGAATACATTGTTCTTCCACAAGTGAAATGCTGAAAGGAAGGCTAGGTGGGCGCCGTGTCCTTTAGTCAGAGCCAATAAAATTAAAGAAGTCTGTGGCTAGAGTATCCTAAAGTCATGGTCTGGGTCAGTCCTAATCAAAGTGCGGTCTGAGGGCCAATACTAGTCAACAGATCAGTGCCATTCTATGAACTCTTTACTGGTCAATCTAGAGATTTGGAGTGTTGTGCCAGAACGTGAATCAACGTACTCCTTCCAACATCAAGAGAGTCCTGCTGCAGGGGCGCCTGGGTGGTTCAGTCAGTTGAGCATCCGGCATCGGTTCAGCTCATGATCTCGAGGTTCGTGAGTTCAAGCCCCACATTGGGCTCGCTGCCTCAGCGCGGAGCCCGCTTTGGACCCTCTGTCCCCCTCTCTTTCTGCTCCTTCCCCACTCGTGTTCTGTCTCAAAAATAAATAAACTCAGACCAAAAAAAAAAAAGTCTTGCTGCAAATATATGCATATCTACAGTGTGTGCGTGTGTGTATACATACCCATGTGTGTATATACATTCTTTTATGTAGATCATATATATCCTTTTATATATATAGCTCTGTGGCAATACAAATGCATTATTTTAAACTGTCTGAGAAATACGAACCAAGAATAGTTTAAGAACTGTGTAGAAGCGGTAATGCTCCCTTTCTGACATCAGGAATGTCTTGAGAGACCAGATATAGCCATGGAGATTTTAGACTTCACGTAATGGAGTTCTACCAATACACTGGTGCTTTTTTCTTTTTTTTTCTTTAACCCCTTCTGTTGACATTTCCATTGATGGCTTCCTTCTCAGCTCTTCCCCAATACCATGTATTGTTCTTAAATATCTTGTCCAAAAGGGCTATCTTGATGAAACCAATTGACTTAAGAGCGTAATAAGAAAATACTGTCAAACATTGTTGACAGCTTACCATGCGCCTGGCACTCTTCCCAAGTGCTTCACAGTATCTGAGGCACTCAATCCTAACAACTGTCCTATGAAATAAGTCCTAGTATCCCCATTTTACAACGAGAATCAAAGTTTATTTTTATTTATTTTCTTTTTTTTTTTTAATTTTTTTTTTCAACGTTTATTTATTTTTGGGACAGAGAGAGACAGAGCATGAACGGGGAAGAGGCAGAGAGAGAGGGAGACACAGAATCGGAAACAGGCTCCAGGCTCTGAGCCATCAGCCCAGAGCCCGACGTGGGGCTCGAACTCACGGACCGCGAGATCGTGACCTGGCTGAAGTCGGACGCTTAACCGACTGCGCCACCCAGGCGCCCCTATTTATTTTCTTAATGTTTATTTATATTTGAGAGAGAGAGACAGAGACAGAGCACGAGCAGGGGAGAGGCAGAGAGAGAGGGAGACACAGAATCCGAAGCGGGCTCCAGGCTCTGAGCAGAGTCCGACGTGGGGCTCGAACCCACAAACTGGGAGATCGTGACCTGAGCCGAAGTCCGACGCTCAACCGACTCAGCCACCCAGGCGCCCCGAGAACCCAAGTTTAAACGATTTGTCCTAAATCACTCATCACCAAGGGGACAGAATAAGGCACCCAACTGATGCCTTTTAACTCTTGAGTCAACATTCCTAACACCCATGGTGTAGTTCCTTTCTAAGGGAAGACAGAGGCAACATATATTTCGTGAAAAGGGTCTGGGACTAAGAATCAAAAGACCTTGATTTTCATCCCAGTCCTGCCACTGGCCAGCCACGTAACCATGGGCAAATTCTTTTCCTGTTTGGGCTTCGATTTCCTAACCTAGAAAAACGAGCAGGGTGGACTGGATGTTTTCTCAGACCCCTTTCAGTTTTAAGGTTTTAGGAGTCTAGAAGCCTAGATTTCTTACTAGAAGCGGAGGCTTATGAATGTATCTTTTATAGAGCATTTCTGGTTCAAATAGAATTCTTTGGTTCTAATTCAGCGAGGCAGGATTGCTCTGGGCTCTCTGCCTGGATGTAGAAATAGCCTTACAATATAGAATTGGATGTTAGCATGGGGGTCGTTGAAATGGGATCCCATCCCATTGCTCTCCGCTAAAGACAGGAGGTAACAATTACACACAAGGAATAAGCATGACATTTAATATTTTGCTTTTTCTCATTGCTCTCCGTTAGGAATAAGGCTACCCTACCTTGTGGCTTGACTTGGCTTCATAAGGAATAAAGTTTTCTTCATGTCTAAGGTCTTGTCAGTCTGGAAATGTTGAAATATTTAGGTATTTTGTTTCTGACATACGGCAAATTCTGCCAAGTATCATAGCTCCAAAGTGCACCGTTTCTGGTACTAAGCCACCGTGAACAAAGAATACAGTGTTTAACATAGTCTTCTCCTGCTCAGTGAGATGGTGAGATTTGTAATGAATGGTGGGTATTAATGCTTACAGATTTAGATCCATTTGTCCGACAAATAATCAATTTGGAAAGAAAAACATTTCTGGTCTCCAGTTGGAAGAAAAAACAAACTAAATATAAGTAAGCGGCTATGTTCCCTCAAATATGTACTTAAGGACACAATGACGGCTCTGTGCTGCTGTCCCGTTTTGTTCTTTAGCTGATGGTTAGTTTAGTTGGGCAGAAGGGGGCTTTTCTAAGGTTTTGATCTACACCGCTACAGGTCACGAGGCTGGGAGTCAGCTAAGCCAGGAGGAAAGACCCAATTCTCACTGGTATGACTTTTTAGTAACTATGACTGTTCTGTGTGTCCAGGGAGATGATGGGGCAACACTTAGGCTATTCAGATCCCAAGACCATAAATATGGATGATCATCGTTACCGGGATGGGTTCAAATGATATTTACCACCGTCAATACCCTGCTCCAGAAGGACGGTAGCCTTCGTCTCAGAAATAAGTGGTCATTGAAAGCAGTCCTTTCAAATTTGTTCCAGGGCAGCTAGTGCTGGAAAGCTTAAGACTGAAGTTTGCTAGTAGCCTCACTTAAAAAAAAATTTTTTTTTGATGTTTATTTTATTTATGTTGAGAGAGAGACAGAGACAGCGAGCAGGGGAGGGGCAGAGAGAGAGGGGGAGAAAGAGGATCCTGAGCAGGGTCCGTGCTGACGGTGCAGAGTGCGATGCGGGGCTCAAACTCAGGAACTGGGAGATCGTGACCTGAGCTGAAATCAAGAAGGACGCTTAGGGGCGCCTGGGAGGCTCAGTCGGTTAGGCGTCCGACTTCCGCTCAGGTCATGATCTCGCGGTCCATGAGTTTGAGCCCCGTGTCGGGCTCTGTGCTGACCGCTCAGAGCCTGGAGCCTGTTTCAGATTCTGTCTCCCTCTCTCTCTGACCCTCCCCCATTCATGCTCTGTCTCTCTCTGTCTCAGAAATAAACAAACATTAAAAAAAATTAAAAAAAAAAAAAAAGAAGGACGCTTAACCGACTGAGCCACCAGGCGTCCCTCTAGTAGCCTAACTTTTAATAAAAAGTAATTTATGGTCATTTTCTTTTGTGCATAATGCAAGGGAAAGGATCTGAATTATAATTCTCACCTGCTGGTATCTGTATGACTTTGAGGAAATATCTTAAATTATGTTGGCCTCAGTTTCTGCTTCCATAAAATAAGGTATTTATTGGACCAGATGATTCACTTTCTCTAGCTGAAAATGAATTATGATTTTAAGGCATTAGGATATAAAGATTCAGTCCTCTTAATAACATACCCTAGTTTCCCCTCAAACCCCTGTCCTATGGTCTTCTCAAAGCCTTTATAAACTCAAAAAGAGCCAAGATTAATAGAATGATACATTCTATTTCCACGATGCTTGACCCAAGGGAATGTGGCAACGCTTACATTAGGTTCCATGAAAGAATTCTGCATCCCTAAAATTACCTAAATGATTAGCAGATACCATTTATCAGTCAACTCCTATATGTGGGGCACTTTACTAGCATTTTACTCATACAGCAAAACCTTGGTTTGCGAGCATAATCCGTTCCGGAAACATGCCCCTAATCCAAAGCACTTGTGTACCCAGGTGAATTTCCCCACAAGAGATAATGGAAACTCAGATGATTTGTCCCACAACCCCCAAATATTCATATAAAAATGACTGCAATACTGTAATAGAATACAATGTAATAACGAAAATACAAAATATAAAGAAAAATAAATGAACCTGCACTTAACCTTTGAAAACCTTCGTGGCCAGCGTGAGGGAGGCAAGAGGGAGGAGGGTTATTGTGCAGGACGACGTTCACTATCACTAAGGGAATCACTGCTATCTAGTGGCTCAATGGAATCTTTTTGTGTGTGTGTGCACCTTTGACAAGGAACCTACCCGATGACACTTGCTTTTGCCTCCTTTTGAGGATTTCTCGGAAATGTGACATTGCACCGATGATCATCCACAATCCTGCAGCAAGAGAGAGAGAGAGAGAGAGAGAGAAGCACCGATGGCTCAGTTGTGATCACGTGACATGCAGCGTCACAAATTGCTCATGTTGCAAGACATCCCTCGTCTATCGAGTTAAAATTTATTAGAAATGTTTGCTCGTCTTGTGGAACCCTCGCGGAGCAAGTTCTTCACAATCCAAGGTTT